GTAAAAATGCTTGCACTCTGACAGCTAGCTCGAGTCCGAGAAAACGCCATATCGTCTTAAAAGTTAAACGCAGGTGTCGTAGGGGAAGTGTTAGTGCGCCGAATCGCGGTTGATTAGGAAGGGCATCTAATCAGGTAAGGGTGGCACTGTCATATAATCTCTCAATAGTGAATTGAGAGAGGCCTATGTCTGCAGTGGAATGAATGGCTGTTGAAAAAAAAAATGAATATGTATATAAATATTTGAATATGTGTGTGAGTGTGTGTATGTGTGTGTGTGCGTGCGTGTGTGAGTATGTGTGTGTGTGTGTGTGCAGAGAGAGTGAAACGAATATATAGATGGTATTAGACATATGAAATGTTATATTTACTATCATACGACTGGAGAAGAGGTACAGTTGCTTAAAGAAGAACTTGTATATATTCAGAGACAGTTTTCGCTGTCTCCTCCTCCAGCATTCGTCCACTGGGACGAAGCTTCACGACTTATACTTGGCTTTTATGAAGACGTATATAACTTTGGTAATAACAATGTAACTGCAAGGAAACTTTGGCAATAACTTTATTCCTTCTTGAATATCAATACAGTTATTCTAACTTTCTGAGCGCTTTCAAAGTGTGAGTTAAGTGTTTCAATCAACAGACATTTCCTCAAAGGAGGTTTATGGTTACATTATCGAGGCTGGAAATATTTGTGAATTTATTCGGGACTTTTAAAGGCGGAAGGCTCTCCCATGTCCTGCGGGGCTTGGAATTGTGCATGCAGTGTGTGCATGCAAATGCATATACATGTATATTTTCATATATATATATATATATATATATATATATATATATATATATATATATATATATATATATATATATATATATATATATATATATATACATATATATATATACACACACACACACACACACACACACACACACATATATATATATATATATATATATATATATATATATATATATATATATATATATATATATATATATACATATATATATATATATATGCATATATATATATATATATATATATATATATATATATATATATATATATATATATATATATATGCAACAAGAGAGAGAGAGAGAGAGGGAGAGAAAGATTTATGTATGTGTGTGTGTGTGTGCAAGCGTTTGTATATAATAAGTGATAAAAATAAATGTAAATGTAAGCTGAAATCCATACAATGAAGAGGCCACGCCAGTAGTTCCCAAATACTTCCGGGTTGGCGCCCCTTCGATTCCAGGTGGACTCCTATCGCCACCCCCCCCCCCCCTCCCTCAAACATAATTTCTTTAGATTCTGATATACAAACAAGTTTATAGATAAGGATGTACCTTAATGTTTATGACATATTATGTCATCCACATTTCGTAAA